CATATATATATATGATTGTTAATGTTTCCGGATATTATATATAATACTGCAAATACCAACCTACCGGTGAAATATCGGTGGGCATAAACATCCGGTTGAACAGGATTGATATCTTGGTAGCGTAGAGTACAAGAGTTTGTCAGCATCGATATTTAAAAGACGGCAGTTTCGAAAACTTACCATACTCGAAAAACGCTTCCTTCCATTTCATCATTAAATTCAAATTAGTCTTCACTGGGCAGAATTATCAAAATTAATATTTCGCTGCGTTATAATATGATCAAGTCGAGTAACTCACATTTCGTCAAGTCATAAACCGCGAATCTCCTCTTTGTGTTGCTGCCGACTGCTTGAATACTAAATGGTTCGGGATCGATTGAATAATCTTCTACTTCAGGAAGCATTAGGACGATATTGCCTTCAACGGCCAATGGACATGCTCTGATAATGTCACGATCAAACAATTGATACAGCGACCAATCTAGGTATAGATTAAGTTAGATTATATACTCGACGATATACGTAAAAGACCAACGAAAAAAAAAACACGAGTTATCAAAAAGTCAGACATTCACCTCTCTTCCCGGACTCTCTTACCGGATCAAATACCGTCGATACTGTTTGCAATATTTCCAGCTGACTATTGTAGCATTCTTTTTGCTGTTGATAACAAATGTATGCGGATAAATGCCAACAAGCTAATTGAATACGTCCTCCCCCCTTTTTCACTAGTACTTGCTCACTTGACAAACAGGCTGAACGTGAACACTCATTGAATGGAAATTGGAATTGTAAAGTTTATGGCTATTCAAAAGAGATGAAATTCCCGCCTATGTTCAAAATTTAGAAATAAATTAACAATTAACAAAAGGCCCATTGATTACATATAAACAACCAATTTCCTGAATCACCTTTGATTTACATGGGAGTAGCTTCAACCAAGGAGTCAAATTTTCTGTGCAAACATTCTCGTGAGGTAATGATCCGTATCTTAATTCAGCACTATTAGATAATTCAGAATCTAAGCAAGGGTAACGGGGCTTTAATCTTGCAGTTTTACGCATTGCCGAAATTTACTCAGTTCCTAGCCATGACATGACCACATACCAATATATACCCCTTCAGGTCTAAAAGATAATCGCGGCCGAACGGTTGATTTTTCGTCAATAAAATTGAGAGACGCGCAAAATACTCCCGCCAGGGCGTTCGTTAAAGACCTCCAATTCTTATCTAAACTATTAAAATGCGTCCAATTCGATCAATAAATATCTCACTGACCCCGGACAACATTCCATTGACAACGTGCCGCACATACTTGTCATTCTTCCATAGCCAAGCCCACAATTCAACTCCAGTCCCAGCAGACGGTGCAATAGGATATCCCCATCCTTCATAATTCCATCTTCCTTGTGTAAAAGTTAGGTGTAATTCTCTTGCTTTGTATGTCTGGAATATTTGCCCGATTGATCGTGGGAAAAGGTCATAATCTGCTAAACGCATGAATTAATATCGTGCAGTATATATAGCATCTTACATCAGCGGTACTCACAAGAATTACCAGATTCGTCAACATTAGATGAATGAATGCTGAATTCGAAATGCGTTAGTACTTTGCCGTCCGGTAACGGCTTTATTATTAGATTTTCTCTGAATTGGTCATTTGTCTTTGCGGTATGAATTGATATGAAAAGTATCTGGTTGAAGAGCAGTAAATATACAAGTCTATAAGGTTGCCACATGTTGACGAAATGGCTATGATTGCTTTTCCGGATTATCGGGGAAACCCAAAGTAAAATTTTAAATTAAACTCGATTCTTCGATTTTATGACGTCATAGATTGAAATTATATAAATACACACGTTCTGCGCCATTACTTTACGAAACATGCCGCTAAACCAACCAAGCAACCAAATAAAGTGCGTTAGAACCACTGTTGATTAGA